GGAGACTTTTTGAGGTCCCCCAATTTCCCTTACGTCACCACCCTACAGTCAATAAAACAAGTTATGATGACGTCAAAGCCGCCATTTTTCTTTAGCCCCATTTATTCCCGCAGTCTATACTTCTCGGCGGCTAGTCGCGAGTGCCTGACCGAGACCCACACTTGGAACGATTTGTGTTTGGGGACACAACACTCCCGTTTCCCATTCGAAAGTAATTCTTGGTGCAGACCATGCGGAAGTGTGTCACAGTTGTCTCTGTTGACGTGGTCAAGAGTTACACACACTAGATGGCGATAGGTGCACCCAATTACTTCTCATTTTTGGAGCTCTCTCAAACCAAAAATGAAAATGATCAATAATGAGGGGTCTGTGATTAATTATCTGTCGTGCACTGCAGCAAATGATGTGTCTTGTTATGACTAACAGGCCCCCAGCAACACATTACAGCAGAAAAATGCGAGGCCAAAGTTTTTATTTCCCCCCTCCAGTGCCCCTTTAAATCACTCAATAATTCAATAACAACCAACAACTAAATAACCCAATACCAATAACTCAAAAACAATTGATAACTCAATAACAATCAATAACTCAAGAGCAATCAATGTATATGGTCAAACCCAAACTGATTGTGGCTCAATCTAAAATCGTTACTAGTCTTAGCCGCTAGCCCTAAGCTAATATGGCATCAACAATACAATATTCTGACAGTTTATCTCGTTGCGACTCGTCATTTGCTGTGTCAATGCTTAGTCGAGTCCTCCATTGTTGATGGGCTACTCCCCTTCTTACAATCGTCGTCGATTGATCCCATTGAACGAACCGCTTGTCTTTATCGCAGGTGTCCCAGTCTCATATTGATCTTCAGCCTCACTCGTCATGGACTTCCCTGCTGACGTGTCTACTCTGCTGACTGGTCTGGACTGCTACCGTCCCGGGGCGAAGTGGGATAGCTGCAAGTCCACCAGGAACTGCTGGGCTAGGCTGCGGCAAGTCCGGGCAGCCTTACTCGGGGCTTCCGAGATCAACGGCCACTTCCTAGGCCTCTCACGCCAACATCCTTCGGAAACGGGCAGCTATACTGCTCTCGTCGCTGTAGCAAGGCTGGTTTTCCACGTCTTCACAGCTCGGAGCCCCAATGCACACCGCCAGCTCATCCTTGAGGATTTCTCATCATGGCTCAGGTCACGTGCCATAAGCATTTGTCTGACCAATCTTCTGCTTCCACGTTTGGCACGCACCTCATGCCTCTCCATCACAATGGGGCACGTCAGGAGATGGCCCACACTTCGAAAGATTTGTGTTTGGGGACACAACAGTCCCGTTTCCCATTCGAAAGTAATTCTGGTGCAGACCGTGCAGAAGTGTGTCACGGTTGTCTGTGCTGACGTGGTCAAGAGTAACACACACTAGGTGACGATAGTTGCAACAAATTACTTCTCATTTTTGGAGCTCTCTCAAACCAAAAATGAAGCAGTGCACTTGTAAATGTATACTGCTGCTTAGTCCATGATCGTACTACATTCTCAGCTGGTACAAATTATCAAGGTTTCACTGTATTACTAGATAATCAACAGTTACTCATGTTGGTGCCACCACATAAACCAATAAATAAATAATTAACTCATTTTTATAACCCACTTTTTGCTTAAAGAACAAGCTACAAAGAAGAAATTTAGCTCTTGTTCCTATTTTTGCATATCTAAAATCATATTAGTGTATAATATTAAAAATTCTAGTCATAATATCACTTTTATCCTGGTTGACTATAAATTTGGCAATTAAACTAAATGGCATGTTTATTTTGGCAGCTTTCGGCTTGAAACCTGGCTTCTTTTCAAATATTAGCCCCGAGAAATCGGAGTGGCGCCCCCTGGCGGGACGCCTGAATGTCGTCACGGCAAGGATACTTTGACGCCGGCCCCTGGCATGCCTACATAACATGCGTTTGCATCGTACGCTGCTCCGCTGCATATGATCGCTTTTCGTTTGACTCAAGCTTCAGATGAATGACGAAAACAGCATCGATAATCCTTCTGGTACACCGACGAAAAACTTCAGTTCAGTAATATTATCAATGGTTACCGCACTCCATTATACAAACTTTGATCAGGTTTGTGTTGTCGCACTGCTAAACTCAAGGATAGCTTTGATTCTCGACCGCGCCATTTGCATTCCAACGTAAGTGAAGGGCGAGAACAGGTTTGTGCTTGGATACAAAGTTCTACAGCGTAGCTCGTATTCAAGTCATGGTTTTTACATATAAGACAGCATATGTAAATTATTAGGTTGCTTGCTTCACAACTGGTTCTTTTCAGAGATATAATAATTTCATTTCTGAGAGTTTTATTCGTATCAAACAATTGCGCATAACTAGGTGCGAAGTATTTTTGCCTATGTATAAAATTCTACGCACAGTAGCGAAAAACTTATCCAGTATCGCAGTTTCACAAAGTATCTCCAAAGTGCTTTGCCGAGAATACCACCGCAGCTGTTGTACTTGTTTTTGTTATGTACTCGCCCACTCATCACGTAGTTTCAAGCTTTCCTCGCAGTGATTTCGGGACTTAATCTCACTAAAAATGAGTTGAGTTTTATTGCAGAAACTTCGTGCGGTGTCGTGGCACAGGCGGTTTTACACTAGTAATTATAGATTGATAGCTCCCTCGTAAATTAATTTTCCTTGCATTTGATAACACCCGAGCTTCATAACTTGTTTATGGATATATAACATGTGAGACCAGACAATAAATTATATAGGCAAGGACTGTTTATTTATTACGTGGGCCATGTCACGAATAGCGCCATCAAAACTGTTCACAACACTCATTTCGACTTTCAATCGCCTGCAAAGCAAACGATTGTTATCAGTAGTGCTCCCTCGTGAATCAATCATTACCGCTTGTGAGGGGGCGTTTGGTCGGACCAGCAGTTCATGCAAATCGGAATATATGGCCACCACATAACCCCCGATGACAAGCTGTTTAAAATAAACATTTATGGAATTCAAGTACACTAACATCTCAGCATTTCCCAGAACGTTTTGCGTGTGACCGTATAGTTTTGTGCAGCATTCTGGATATGTTGAAAGATTTTTTATAATGAATTCACGTATTGTCTCTTTTAGCAAAAGATGCAACTTTGTGAAATCGCCACAATAATCTGCATAAAAATCGCAATGTATTTAGTGAATTTGAAAACATTGTGATCTTATTTGTAATTTTTCGGGATATGTGTTGTAACCGCGGAGAGTACGCCAAGTTGTAATAAAATGAGAATCTTCAGCGTAAAGCATTTTAGCACTGATTTCTTGGCATAAGTGGTGACAGCAACGAATGCCTTGCTATAATGCACCACCATTTTAACAGTTGACCGCCCATTCGGACGCAAGTTTGCCCATTAGATTATCGCAACTTTCTGCAGCTCACTTAACTTTGGCCCGCATGTACACAGCCGCCTTTTACCTTGGTAGATTTGCATAGCAACAATGAGCAGTTATCACCAACCTATCGCGTTGTAGTGGACACACGGCGGGCGCAAAAAAGGGCGATTTACAGCCACGAAACGAGTCCTTGCCGTGACATCATGTCCCCCCAACTGCTGCATCGCCAGTGTTCGTTCTCGGGGCTAATACTCAACGGCAACCCTGTTCATGCTACACCTGCAGAGCTCTTCAAAAGGTAAACACTCTGTCTCCCAAACAAATTTCTCGCTGCACTGCCATCCAACACCACGATGCGAGATCCCAGCAACTTTGTCGCCTGGCTCCGACACACCATTGCCGCCCTGCGCCCATTACCGGCAGCCCACCACTGTAAACCTACACTTTCAGCCTTCAAGAAGCTGGAAATGTGCACACATGCCTTCCTCCACAATGCTGCCATCCGCAAGCCTTTCCAGCCTCCTTACAACAGACCCTACCTGGTTGTTCATCGCGATGACAAAAACATCAGCCTTCGCATGAATAGGAACAACGTCCGCATTTCAACTGACCAGGCGAAGCCAGCTTACATATCTTGCGACGAACGCATCCTCAGGTATTACAGTAGTGAAGTTGCCATTACTCATAATAGCCTCCGTATAACACAAATTGGACTGGAATGGAAGCATCACTGCTGTAGCAGCATCACTTTCTAGAGAAACTGCTTCTTGTGCATACACCACCCTCACATGGCATGACAGTTCAGACAAGGTTCACTACTTAAAAAGATCATTATCATGATTTGTGAATGAAAAGAACAATGAATAAGCTCCTCAAATAAGCTGTCATGCAATGCTAACAGTTTATGAACACTGCCTATTTGATCCCATCTGGTTAAAAGATTTGATTTGCTACCTTCCAGATGGCTGATGGCAGCTGATGTCGGATGAGGCCGTCGCTTGAGTGGCAATAGCTCCAGTAGATAGAGAAGGACTCCAACTTGACTAGCTGGAATAAATGAAACTTGGATCACCACTGACACTACAGTGTGGCTTTATTATAAGGAAATACCATACTTGTTAGAGATATACAACAATATAAGGGATAGGGAGCATCATTTTGAGCTGAATAAAACACATCAATAGTAAAAAATGCCCCCCTTGTTGCCTTGGTTAGGTTATAACCTGCTAAGTGCGGCCCACTTTATAAAAAGCAAGCCACAATGAAGTAAACTTGCCTTGTAGATTGTCTTGAATGAGGAATTCAGTTGAATTGGCTTCCATTTGCTATTGGTGGTGATGGCAGACAGGGACTGGAGCACTATGCCACATGCAAACGGCTGCCTAGCACTGCTCAGTGCGTGTTCGTAACGAATGTGTACATTCTGCACGGAGACCTGCAGGGATCCCAGGTGTGAACAAACAGCACCAGTATTGCAGATAAGAACAAATGTACCTGCACATTATTCATGATGGTCCCAAGAAAGTTTTCCACAAACCCTCGTGGTTTATCTAGGTAAAGAAAGCACAACCTGTGATGCCAAAAAAGACCTGCAGGAGGACCTCCTCCTACCCAGCTCGGCCAGATTGGTCTCCAGAAGCTCCAGTCGGTGAGACTTGAGTGCCCTCGCCAGGAGACGCTCCTTGTCCGCATCGTACGGCTCATCACAAATGGGGGCAGCCAAGATTAACACATCCTCCACATGGACAAGCACAGGCTCTGCATACAGGCTCAGCCAGGGAATGTCCACTGAGAGCTTGCCTGAGGAAGGGGGAGGGGGGGCGCATATTATGACAGACAGTCGTCACAGGGCCCTACTTACCGATGCAACCGGCCTTCACTTCAATGGGCAGCTCCAGTTCATACTGAAATACACAAACAGCACCACCTAGAAACAAGGACAAGGCTGGCTCAGAGAACAACATACCAGTGCCTCGGCCTTTAACTGCAGGTCTGTGAGCTGCACGGTACCTAAAGAAACAGAAGCACGCATCTCACAGATGTACAGCGGACTCAAAAAATTTATATCGAGGTCTTCTACATCATCAGCCTCAATGGAGGGCTATCATATGTCAATATCACATGACTACACAACAAAAGCAGTTCATGAAGCAAAAAATGCACACGAAACCTCTTAGAAAGAGGCAGTATGCCGTATCAGAAAATAAAACACACAAGACCAGACGAATACAAAAGCAAACAGGTAATAAGAGTTCTCGACGCAGCCAGAATTAGAATAAGAAAACAGCATCAGAAAAGTAAATGCCAAGCAAAAACATACAGTACAATACCAGAGAGGATGCCTGTGGCTACAAATTTCAGTAATTATATCTTGAGAACACAGCGAAACCATGAACCAAATATGGGTCATTCCATACCAAATGTACCCAATCAATTTTCAACCATCTCCGATCATGTTGAAAAAAAATCGTGGAGATATATGTGAATGTGACATGTAGTTATTGAGCCATTATATTTCACGAAAAAGTTTGGTGTTGGCTAGAGGGCGCTTCAAACTTAGGGCATATAAGTGAAACTGTGTCACGCTAAGTAATTTGTATAATATCGCTGGTTTGAGTAATTAATACAAAACAACTTTTGCATTATTCTTAAGGCAATACTCTTTCATGACTATTATAGTTTATTCGTTTTTTTTTTCATTTTCTTTATTTTTCACTTTGTCAAAAAATTATAATATGTTGCACATTTAGCATTTTTTTATAAAAAGCACATTTTTTTTGCCAGTAATATATTAACATTTTCTGCTTTATATGTTCCTATATTAAATAATTAAAATAATTTGGGAGCTAACGAAGCAAGAGTAATGCCAAAATATTGTGGTAAATTTGGAAAAACGTCAATTTTACTCATATTGCGACTTGACTTTTGCAATGTAGCGGTCCAAGTAAAAATATGGATTTCTTATTGCTGCCTAAAATAGCTTGTCGGCAAGATAAGCAGAAAGTCTCGAAACCATATATTTTCTTTTAAGGGAGAAAAAAGAATTACAAACTGAACAACCACAAGGTAGTAAGAAGCATGCCTTTCTATCATCTTCACTGTAGAGCACGTCAGCACGAGGTTCCAGCAACAGCTTTTCAGCAGCGAATAATGCATTTCATACATATCCTTGTCACTTCTTTTAGCAATATCGCTTTATATAACAACAAAACAAGGCAGTAGTGCTTTATTTATGGAACAGTATCTTCCTTCTTGTACCACAAAATGACAGGTTATAATTGAACTGCTTGTTTGTCACAAGGGGCAGAATTGTAACGCAGTCCATGGCCTGCAATACAGTGTGGAGACATTGAGGGTGTCTTATAATAATTAATACACACTGTTTTTAAATTAACAACATAATTAAAGTATATTTCACGTAAGTTGTTTTTATGATGTTTTTGGCATAGGCCGATGCGTAATTGCTCAGGGTCGGCTGTTGAGGGGAACGTGACGGCCGACCCTGAGGTGACGGCGAGCGGCTAGACCAGTTTCTTTGGGCAACGACGTCAGCGTAGGACGGTTCAGAGCATGGAGATGAACGGTGAGGTGAAGGTGAAGGGCGAGGTGAAGCGAGACTGTTGCCCAGTGGTCTTGCGCAGGACTGATAGGAAGCGGGTGCCATGGCCTCCAGCTCCTGGCGAACAATCCTTGTGATATTGGCAGGAGGCGCAAGTGAACGGGGAGCTGCAGAATCTTCGCAAGACGAAGTCGCAACGGTGTTTGGTAGTCTCGTGAAGTAGTGGGTTATTCGCCTTCCTTTAGCTTGTTCAAATCGTCGACATTCAGATATGATGGAGTCGACAGTGGTACAGTTCTTACACATAAGTATGTTGAAAGCATCGTCAGCAATGCGTTTCAACACGTTGCTGATCTTGTCCGCCTCGGACATGTTTTTGTCAGTCTTTCGGCACAGTGCCAGTACGTCTTGGATGTACGTGACGTACGACTTCGTCGACGATTGAACACATGACGCGAGTTCCTGCCTGGCTGCCATATGATGAGCAACTGACCGACCAAACAAGTCGCGAAGCTTTTGCTTACATATGTCCCAGCTGGTTAATTCTTCTTCATGCGTCTCATACCAGGCACATGCCGTACCCCTTAGGTAGAATAGAATATTTGCCAGCATAAGCGTCTCGTTCCACCTGTAGTGCTTGCTGACACGCTCAAATAATGCGAGCCATTCTTTGACATCCGTGCTGTCCGTCCCAGAAAACGTGCCAGGGTCAAAAAGATGGGGAGGAAATTACAGGTGACGCAGCCGGCACAGATGGCGAGGCCTGAGTGCCGGTTTCAGGCATCGCAGCTGGACAAAGCTGGCATCCACTGAGGAGTTCCAGAGTCGGGTTGTGTGAAGACCCAGCACCTCCACCAAAAGATGTTACAGGGAAGATTTATTCACCGACAGCAGGTCTTGCTAACGGCTTAAAGAGCGCACAGTCATGCAGGCCAATGGGGGAAGCTCGAGAGACCAACCCACAACAACCACATTGTGGTCTTCCTCCTTTCGGGTGCCATTTCAGCTGTGCCGAAGCGACAGTTCCATACACGTATCAATATATTGTCACGCACCAAGAGCCGTAGAGACAAGACAGGAACAGTGGGGCAGAAAGACACGAGCTTGTATTTCCAGAACGAGGCGCTCACCACACTTCTTCTTCGTTCTCTTTGCCCTTTTTGGCTCGCTAGGGCTTGCCGGCTCACAACTCTAGATGGCATTATTCCCCCTTCCATTAGAGCATCGACTCGATGCTCATACACAAGGGGACGGCAGGGCCGATAAGGAAAAAAAAAGAGAGAGAGAAACGGTACCTATAGAGCACAGGGCATATGCAGGTGCAAAAAAAAATTGTCTGAGGTTGGTCATAAGAGAAAAAACCGTTAACCGAGTTCACAGTTCGTTCGAGACCTACCGGACAATGTCAAAAAAAAAAGGCAATGTTTGCTGCCTGGGCAAAATAAGGCGAGTATCACCGCGTAATATAAGGTTTTAGGCGGACGACATGCACAATCTGCACAACATGCACAATTCGTGTTGAGTGGCGTTGGGTCGTTGCCGAGTCTCCGTCTGGAATAACTTCGTAATTGACCTCGTTCAACCGCCGTAGTACTTTGTAGGGTCCGAAGTACTTGCTCAGGAGTTTTTCGCTGAGACCTCGCCGTCTAACAGGAGTCCAGACCCACACTTGGTTGCCAGGTTGATAGGAGACTTGTCGATGGTGGATATTGTACCTTCGGGCGTCTTCACATTGCTGCGATCTTATGTGCACGCGAGCTAATTGATGTGCTTCCTCTGCACGCTGAATGTAATCGTCGACATCAGGAGTTAGCAGCTCTTCCTGGTCGAAGTCACAAGGAATCATAGCGTCTAGCATGGTTTGCACGTCTCGACCGTAAACAAGGCGGAATGGTGCGAACCTTGTCGTTTCCTGGCTTGGGGTGTTGTACGCAAACGTTACGTATGGCAGGATTTCGTCCCATGCTTTATGCTGCACATCCACGTACATAGAAATCATGTCCGCCAGCGTTTTGTTCAACCTTTCTGTTAAGCCGTTACTCTGGGGGTGGTATGCGGTTATCTTGCGGTGGTTCGTGTAACTGAGCTTGAAGATGTCGTCCAACAGTTTTGCCGTAAACGCTGTCCCTCGGTCAGTGATGATGAATGACGGGGCACCGTGACAAAGCACAATGTGGTGCATGAAAAACTGGGCGACTTCAGATGCTGTACCGCGTGGCAATGGCTTCCTTTCAGCGTAACGCGTCAAGTAACCAGTTGCGATGATAATCCACTTGTTTCCGGAGTGAGACAAAGGAAACGGTCCAAGGAGGTCCATCCCAACCTGGTCAAACGGCGTACGCAGTGGGTCGATGGGTTGTAGGAGGCCTGCAGGCTTTACAGGTGGTGACTTGCGACGCTGACATTCGCGACATCCTTTCATGTAGCGTTTGACACAAGCTGCGAGTTTTGGCCAGAAATATAGCTGTCGTACCCAGTCAAGCGTCCATGAGTATCCCAGATGGCCGGATGTCGGCTCATCGTGGCATGCTAATAGGATGTCATCACGAATGTCCTGAGGAATGACTAGAAAATAAGATCTGGGATAAGATCTGCTGCCAACACTGGTGTTTTTCTTGAATAATATGCCATGTCGTAAGCAAAATGACGGCAACGTACAGGAAAGTGCACAAGGAATAGACGCGGTGCTGCCTTCTAAATGATCGGTGATGGGCCTTAACTAGGGGTCCACTCGTTGCTTACTGAGGAAGTCCGCCCCATTGAGAGTCCCCAGGAAGGCACTATCGTCTTCTACAGCTGTATGGTCGGATTCCAGAGGTGCTCGTGATAGCGTGCCGGCGTCTTCATGCTTTCTACCCAACTTGTATACGATGGTGACATCGAACTCCTGAAGTCGCAGACTCCACCGTGCTAATCGCCCAGAGGGGTCTTGGAGGTTAACCAACCAACATAAAGCGTGGTGATCAGTCACAACTTTGAATGGGCGCCCATAGAGACAAGGCCTGAACATTGTAATCGCCCATATTACTGCGAGACATTCCTTCTCTGACGTTGAATAGTTGGTTTCGGCACGTGATAGAGTGCAGCTCGCGTAGGCGATCACGCGTTCGATCCCATCTTGTGTTTGCACCAGGATAGCTCCGAGACCAATGTTGCTTGTGTCAGTGTGCATCTCTGTGTCAGCGTCCTCATCGAAATGACCGAGTACAGGAGGGGATTACAATCGATGTTGCAGTTCCCCAAAGGCAGTCGCTTGTTCGTCAGTCCACTGAAATGGGGTGTCGTCACGCGTAAGTCTAATGAGAGGCTCCGCAACCTTAGAGAAGTTTTCAATAAAGCCGCGATAGTAGGCGCAGAGCCCTAGAAATTGCCGAAGACTTTTTTGTCTGTCAGAGCTGGAAAAGCGGCCACAGCGGCAGTCTTCTCGGGATTGGGCCGAACGCCTGCAGCG